CCAACCGCTACACCGCTCTGCCTCTTGATGTGGGGAAGAAAGGAAAAGGTGAACAATGCAAGAGAAATGGGGGCCCTGGCTGAGCCGGGGCTGAGAGGCAGACCTTGATCTCTCTGCGGGGAATCTGTTCTTTTTATTTTTGCTGTGCTGGTGATGGGGAGCCCATGGCCTGTTCCAACCACTGAGCTGCGTCTTTGGGTTTTGGAGATGGGAGCTTCCTATGTAGCCCAGGCTGGCTTTGAATTCAGCCTCCCTGATGAAGGAATTACAGACACACACACTCCATCACACTAGGGTTTGGAGGAGTCCTTTCTGAAGCCGGAAGGAACAGCCGGATATGTTGAGGACCAGAGGAGGAGTGTTAGGCGGATTGGGGAAGCAGAGAGATGGACTGGGGTTGGGGGTGGGAGGTGGAGGAGTGGGGTGGGGGTGGGGGTACAAAGCATAGCTGGAGACCAAGTGCAAAGGCCAGAGGAGGGGCTGGATGTGCTAGCAGGTGGACAGAACAGATGGGCTTGTGGAGCGGAGAGTGAGGCGGGGAAGGAGCTGGGGGCAGTCACGGAGCTTGAGGGAATGGGTGGTCAGGCATGGTGGCAATCGTGGATGGGCTTTGAGGAGGGACAGGACTGGGGCAAGGATTGCTGATCTCCTGGGTTGTGTGTGCTGTGTTCTCAGCATCTGCAAGGACAGGAGCAAAGGTTTCAGTAGGAGACTATGGCTATCTATCACCTATCTGTCTATCTATCTATCTATCTATCTATCTATCTATCTATCTATCTTAGAGACAGGGTCTCTATGTAGCCCTGGGTATCCTGGAACTTGCTATGTAGACCAGTATAGCCTAGAACTCACAAAGCTTTGCCTCTCCCAAGTGCGGGGTGCCCTCTCTTGTGGTCTGTCTGTTAAACCCGTTAGATGACGGTTTATAGAGTTTCGCTAATCCAGGACCAGCACTGGGTTCTGTTTAGGGCACCATGGTGAAGGGCTCTGAGAGAAGCATCTGGATAAGCATTGGATTCCCAGCTGCAGTCCAGCTGACACTGACCTGGCTGCTTCGCTGTCCTGTGCACTACATTGTGGGACACGTATCCCTAGCCTCTCCTTATTAGACACCTGGAACATCTGCACCCTCAGCTCCTAGCTGTGGCAACCCGGAACCTCTTCAGAGATTACCACATGTCCTTTGGGAGGGAAATGCTTTCCTCCATTGAAAGCCGATGGTCTAGTGGGAGGGAGGGAGAGACAACCAGCCAAGCAACAGGGACTGCAGAAAAGCAGGTTTGGGTAATACTGCCTCGCCTTCCTTCTGACTTTGTTTTGACCCTGTCTGTGTCTCCCTCTCCCCCTCCCCCTCCCCTTCCCTCTCCCTCTCTCCCTCCCCCCTCTCTGTCTCTGTCCCTCTCCCTCTCTCTCTCTCTCTCTCTCTCTCTCTCTCTCTCACACACACACACACACACACATACACACACACACCCTGTGCTATTGACCATCTGCCTGATGGGGCACAGGCTGTTCATCTGACCACCTGCCCTTTGCCCCAACCCTTCCTATTTTCCCTCCTGCCACTGATCTAATTCTGCCAACCCCTTCAAGAAAGAGGTAAAACCATGCATACACGCACACACACGCATGCACACACACACACACACACACACACACACACACACACACGCATGCACACACGCATGCGCACACTCCTCCCAGAGCCGGCATCTTGTCCTAAGGAGGCACAAGTTTTGTCTGCCTCTTTGTGGCTGTAACAGAATGCTGTCAGTTTCATCCTTAAAGGTGGGCCCTGCTGTCACTGTTCCCCAGGTTGGCTCGGGTTCTAATTAGCCAAACAAACAACACAAAACCAAGATATTTTAAGCCCCATCCCTGCCTCAGTCCCCCTCATTTCAAGTCAGACAGAAAGCCTGCTGCTTGCCTGCTTGCCCAAGGCAGATAAGTCCAGGGCGCCTGTTTCCTTGTCGCTGCCTAAGCTATCTTGGGATGCAGCTTGCAGAAGCAGCTCCTCCTGCTGCCGCCTGGCTGCTGGCCAGAGGCTTTGAGAACCATCTCAGGGAGGCCTGGCCTCTGGTAAGTGAGGCGCAGGGGGTTGGGGGGGGGAAGCTGGACCAGCCCTTCCTCTCCTTGACACTGCATGGCTTCCGGAGAACCAGATTCTGACCTTGTAAGGGGCACAGAACTGAGCTACGTGCGTAAGCTTCTTCTTACGTTTTATTCTGAGACAAATTCTCACTAAGTTGTCCAGGCTGGCCTTGATCTCACCCTCAGAGAAGCTCAAGGCTAGCCTTGAACTTTCCATCCTCCTAACACAGTCCCTCCCTCCCTCCCTCTTTCCACCCAGTAGCTGGGATTATAGGCCTGCACCTCCATGTCTAGCAAAAGAGACATGTTTTAATGTAATTTTATTAGCTCATTATTTATTAATATCATTGAGGAGTCTACTTGTTTAGGCTTGATTCTGCTTTTCTGTGCAAAGCTTTATGGTTAGGCTTTTTTTCTTTTTCTTCTTCTCTCCTTCACTCCCATTGCCTCGGACTCCCAACCTCAGTACAATGTACATTCTGGGTCTCAAAATTCCTGGCAGTGCTGGGGGCCCAACCTGCAGTGTTTTTACTGTATCTTTGGTTTCTATTCTCTGGATGTCAGCAGCCAGCTCTTCTCTGTGACAGCCCAGAAGTCTCCATTTGTCACTTACATTGTGGGGGGAGACAAAATTGCATCTGTTGGGATGCACGATTTTAAGAATTATAAAAAGCATCCTTCGAGGTGGTAATTAATCTAGCCGGAGGTTTGGACAGGAAAGGGGCTTCCCCGGCCTCATCCGTAACAGGAGGTATCAATCGAATCCGCTGTCCCGCAGCTCTGTGCCTCAATGCGAAGACCACCTAAGGGTGGACTGCTTAAGAGGAAGATAAAGGGCTCGACATTGCTGATAAAGGGAGAAATTGGCCTGGGTCTGGCCTCACTCCGGTGGCTGTCTCCAGAGGCACAGCAATCCAGGGTTACTACTGGGGTGGACGTCAGATCACAGGCATCTGCTGTGTAACCTTGAGTGTTGCACATCGCTTCTCTGGGCCCAGTTCAAGGTGTAAGCCATCCCTACCCTGATGAACTTAGCCTCTGAGCAACACCGATGCGGCCCTTGAGCCCAGGCTTTGAGAAGCAGTCCTGTTTCTCGCCAGTCAGCCACATTCCATTAAGCACCGGATCAGCCTCGGTTGGTTGGTAGGCGGACCTCCGGCTTCCTCCTCAATCTGTGTTCTTCCCAGAATCCCTGTCTGCAGCCTACCTTTGTCTCTTGTCTCCAGCCCAGTTACATTTCCCAGATAACCTCCGACAAGGCTGAATGGCAGCAGCATTCCTCAAACAAAGCTGCCCCATAGGTCACCGGCACATGCCGGCGGCTTCCTGCTCTTTGCCCTAGAAAACAGTTCAAGTGATCAGAGCCTGGGAGAGAGGGAGGGAGGGAGGGAGAAGGGAGAGCCATCGGGAATGTGTTGTGCTTACACAACAAGCTTTAACCTGGGAGTATCCAGGCGCTCCCCTGCTGTGTATGTATTCCCCTTGTCCAGTCGTGAATTTAGGTGTCCGTGAGATCCACGAGCAACTCCATGTGTTGCAGCCCCCTCCCCCAAGCTATATTTGTTAATGGCTGATGGTAGAGTCTGAAGTCACATGAATAGGAGAGGAGAGGGTGCCAGAATTAGGCCTCTGGTTCCCCATTTGGTCCCAGTAAGGTTTCCCTCCCCAGTAAGAGCTGACCCCTCCCTTTGGGTGAAGCCAGGCCTGTTGTTCTGAGTGCCTTTGTCAGGCCTAGTGGCTCCAGAGATGTCCCCGCTGCTATCTGCCTCAGATGGTTAAAACAACAAAATCCTGTCTCCTTTCCAAAGCCAGAGTTTGCCCTGCAGTAGTGTGTGTTTAGATTCCTGACTGGGTCTAGGGAGCAGATCCCCAGCCTGGGAGAGTGCATGCTGGCCTGCTGGGCGTCTGTTGTCCTTGGGGGGCAGGGAGAGCAAGCCTTCAGCTCAGCTCTTCAATTCCTTTGAGGAAACGCTGGGGGAGGCAGGAATGAGTCCTAATTTCAGTAGCTGAGGGGGACTTTATTGCTTTCTGGGTCCACCTCCTGGTGTCTGGCTGCATCAGCTCCCAGCCCTTGAAGAAAGGTGTTTATTTAGCGTCTGTTTTTTTTTTTTAAATCTTGTTAATTAAGGATGTTGTTTAAAAAAAAATAACTGAAGATTAGGAGAGAGCCTTGGACAGTCTTGGATTCTTCTCTGTGCCTTTTCTACAAATGGCAGCTTTTAGGAAGGAGTCAGGCACTGGTCTCCCACCCAGGACCATCGGGCAGAATTCTAAGCAGGTCTGAGAAACTAGTTAATATTTTACTGGGGAGCACAGCCAGAGATGGGGGGGAGTAGGGGGATGGCCAATGTGCGGCTGTGTGTGTGAAATCGCCCTTCCATCTGCCTTAGGGGACGAGAAGAAGCAGTTCTCTGTGGAAGTAAACTGAAGCAGGAACCCTTAGGAAGCCCAGGGGATTTGTCTGCCCACCAAACAGGGCCCAGTTCCCCCCAGAACACACATACAGGGGCGATTGTGGCAGAAAGGGCCAACCTGTGGGTGTGTAGGCCTGACTATAATGGAGGTTCTTGTTTCCTGGCCCGGTTTGACATCTTTCTCTGTCCCTCTGGATTTAAATGGCTTCTCAGACTGAGGCACTGCCTGTAATGCCCTGGATTCAGAAGGTCCACGCCTCCTGGGGAAGCAGAGGCGAGACAGCAGTTAGCTAGCTCCCTCTCTCTTTCTGCATCTGCCCAGAGAGCTGCAGCTGGTATTTTTCCACAGGCCTTTTCTGCAATCTCAGGGCCTAGTTTTTCCCAGCAAGGCCCAGAGTCCGAGAGAGGGTTAACAGGCAGGAAGCTGAAGGCATCACAGACTAATACGGAAGTCAGATTTTTGTTTAACTGACAGGTTTAGCAGGCCTCATCGGTGGGGGAGGGAGCAGGGAAGGGAAGTCTTAAATGGAGGCATGTGGCCTGCTAGCAACAGCATTTGGCTTTTCTTAGGGTAAGCCTGGAGAGGGTCCCTCCCTTGCCATCTTGACAGAGACCTTTTGGGTTTTTCTTTGAGGACTGACTGAGGAGGGTGGTGAGAGGTTATAGGTCTCCCAGCTTTGCAAATGGCTCTGTGGGCCTGCTTTTTCCAACAGGCACTCTGACCATGACTAGGCAAACTTGACCACTTCTCCCCACAGCAGCGCTACCTCTCAGCTCTCAGGAACCTGGGAGCCCCTTGCCGATTTGTTGGGGGCCTCCCTTGGGTTGCCTCTTCCCCCCTCAGCCCCTCAGAGGCCTGCATCTGGCTTTGTCCCCATTGCTCCTGTCTCCCCGGGGGCTCTCCACCCCTAAGCTCGACTTTCTCCTTTGAGAGCCACTCAAGCTGGCTTGTTCTATAAAACGGCCTGATCGCCTGCTTAGAAAAGGACTTCTGTGTGGGGGCAGGTGTGGTTGAGTCGTCCAGCCCACCCCAAAAGGGCTCTTCCCAGTGGCATGCTGGCCTCAGGCTTTGCTGGAGCAGGTCAGGCTGGCTGCACGGGTTTGCCTGGACTGGAGAATCTAGCCAGGGGGTGGGAGAAGTGCTTGTGGAGGCCCCTTTCCCAAGTTTTTCTTCCTGCAAAAGGCCTAGCTTAGCCTGTCTTTTTCTATGCACAGGATGGCTCTTGCTCACCCGAGCCTCACAAAGATAATCGCTCAGGAAGTGTTTCAGCCAATCCGCGGCGGCTTTACACTCCGATTTGCCGGGGCAGCCAATCGGGGATGAGCTTTTATTAGGCGGCCAGATCATCAGCCGAAGTGCCAAACCCTTTTTCTGTGAGAACTAGGAGCCTGTCCTCCATGTTTTATAAGTATTGACATTACACAGTTAACAATGCATCCACAGAGGTAAGCTCGGCTTTTTAACCATCTTTTCCCCCTCCCTCTCAGTCATCCGAGTCGTGGGCTAGCAGTGTGATTTCTCTGTAGCCTGGCTCTACCACACTCACCCCCCCAGAGCACTTAGGGTAACTTGGGACTGTTTAGAGAGATTTTTTTTTTTCCTTTTTGGGTCACATGGCTAAGTAGCCATTAGCCATAGCCTGATTTTACAGACTGGTGAGGGCCTGGAACACCTTTATTCTGACCAGGACAAAGAATTTCTGGAATAGTTTGAAGCTAGATCCTGGTATGCCAAAAGAGAAGCTATTATCCCCCCTCCTTTTATTTTTTTTTTTCCTCCCTTCCTCTCCCCCTCTCTCCCTCTCTCTCTGAACAGTCCTCCCCCCGCACTGTTGTCTGCTGTGTGTCACATGCCTGCTGGGGGAAGAAAATGGAAGGTAAGCCAGAAGGTCTTCTCCCAGCACAGTTCAGGACTGCCTGTGGCAGATAGCAGAGCAAGCAAGCCTGCTTCTCCAGAGAGATTCTGGGAAAGGCTGGGCTAAATTCTGACAAGAGAGGATGCGTGTTTGCAACAGAACCCAGGCCTGAGCAAGAGCAGGACTCAGGGAGCCCAGGCTGGGTCCTGGGCCTAGGTGGGTGGTGGTGTGTGGACTGTCTTCTCTTCTCCTCCAGAGCTTCGCACTTGTAACAACATTGTTCAGCCTTTTCTCCCCCCCTCCCCCGACTTAGCTTGGTACAGAGTGTTCTTCAAGTCAGCCTACAGCCAGCAAATGGTTCTGAAAGTGTTTCCTAGCCTCTGAGGGAGTTTTCTGGAGTAGGCATGGTGCCTGGGGGGGTGGGGTGGGAGTGGGGATGGGGAGAGATTTTGAATAACATCCTGCAGGGGGAAAAGAAAGATCAGTGAGGACTCTGACTCCTTTAGCTTTACAGTCCTGCATGATTTTCCATGGGCTAATGTTTCTTTTATCCTCCCCCCCCCCCTTTAAAACATTATATCATCTTCTGTCCTCTGTCATGCAGCACTGAGACATGGATCACACCTGAGGCTCATGACAGCATCCCATATCCAGTTGCTGGGTTGTGTTGTTGTGGTGGTGATGGTGGTGTGTGTTTTTAATAATACCATGTAACTGTTTACCAAAAAAAAAAAATTTTTCCTTTTTGATCAAGTCCCAAATCTGCCAGCCTGTCTTCTCCTCCTCCTAACTGGGGAAAAGTGAGACGGTTGTCTGAACGTGTGTTGGGTAAGTAAAGTAATCCATCTCTTCTGTGAGCGTGTATCAAGAGTTTGGTGACCCTCTGGGGTCTGTGGTAATGGGTGTGTGTGTGTTTCTAGAGTGTCTTGAGTTTAGGTGATGGCTTGAATCCACTGTTGTTCCTGCTAATCTGCAGTTAAGGACTGAAGATCTCACTTCCTGTTTACCCTCAGCTGGGAGGAGGAATTACTGGGTTCATTTGTGACTTGCAGCCAGACCTTGAATTGTGTTTGGCTCTTCTGAACTCTGGGTAGGTGATCTGCTTGTGACATGTGAGCAAAACTGTTCTTAGGGGTTCCAGAGCCTACACACGGGGCATGAGCCTGTGTGTGCGCCTTGTGTTTTCATGTGTAAGTTTTACAGTGTTTATATCTAGTGCAGAAGCCTATCCACTCCCAAACTAGGTTTGGCTTAGGACTCACTGACCACTAGATATGGGCTTTACCTCCCTGGCGGTCTGCTTTACACCTCTCTGTGCATGTTGGCTTTGCATTTGTCCTACTTCTGAGGCTGCAACTAGAATTTTAAAACCCTCACCTTCAGGGTCCACCTGGAAGCTCACCGCATATTTCCTGCTTTGAGACCCAGCCAGGCTGGCATGGAATCGCTCTGTGCGCAGTGGCTATCCTAGGCCAACTTCACAGACTCTCTACTCTCTTTTTTAGTGTTCAAGCAACTGGACCTTTGACATCAATTGAAAAAATTAGTAAAGAGAGACAGACTAAATTATCAACTGGGCAGTCTGTGTGGGGCAGGCCAGCGTCTGGGAGTCACACAGATGGACTATAACGTTCTTTAAGCAGTGGCTCAGCCTCACACAAGTTCCGCTACTCTCTTTATTCTTGTCTCCTTGCTGTAAATGGAAATTACAAACCCAGTTTCTTGAGGCCTCTGCAGAACCAGTGGCTAATCACCAGCCTCCTTGTTTGCCTCCCTCAGCCCTTTGCGTAACTTCTTGGGCTGAAAGGAAACTTGAGGGCAAAGCGTTTGTCCTCTAGAAGCTCGGATTAAAATGGCTCCTACAGGTTTGGGAAGGCAGGTTCTGTTTGTGAGTGTGAACCCCAGCCAATTCCCCAGCCCCGGCTCAAGCTGGCTGCTTTTCCTCGTGGCCACTACCATGCCTGGGTTGGTAAAAAGTTAATTGCTTTCGAAGTTGCATTCTTTTCCAGTTACTAAAGAGGGAATTTAGGAAAAAAAGTCTGCATTGCAGTTGGATTGGGCGAGATCTCAGTGCTGGCCCACAGACTAACCTGACGGGGTTCCCTTTTCTTCCTGTACTCTTAAACCAGTAGATTTAGGGGAAAGGTTAAAAGACTGGCATTTGCAGTGGCCTGAGTATAGGACTTCTGGAAATTTCTACTATTTGTTGTTGTTGTTGTTCCTTTTAGGACAACCAGGTGGCCAAGCTGAGGTTTCTTCTGCGTTCCATCCCTAGGACTCCCCCATCCCCCACCTTGCTTTTCCTCATCAAGGTGGAAGGTTCACCACTTGTGCAAATTGCAGAGGCGAAAACAAACTGATGGGCTGTCTTCCTTTTTCCTCCTGCCTCCTTGGTCCCCAAAGAGGAGTCACAGCTGCAAAGGAACAGATACAGACACTGGTGCTTTTGATCTCTCTCTCTCTCTCTCTCTCTCTCCCTCTCCCTCTCCCTCTCCCTCTCCCTCTCCCTCTCCCTCTCCCTCCCCCTGCCCCTCCCTCTCCCTTCCCCTCCTTCTCTTTCTCTCTCCTCTCTCTCCCCTTCCCCCTTCTCTCTCCCTCCATCCCACTCTCCCTCCCTCTCACCCTCCAGCCCCCCTCCCACTCGCTCCTCTCCCCACCCCACCCCCTTCTCCCTCTCTCCTCTCCCTCTCCTTCAGTGACTCCCTCCCTCTCATCTCTCAGCCTTCTCCCCACCCTCTCTCCCGTTTAAGACCTTCTTAGATGGGTGCCCCATTCTGCTCGGGAGATGAAGTGGCCCTCATGTAGGGGAGGGGAGCAACTGCTTTTATTAGCTCCAGAAAACGGCCCAGTGCTCAGTCTTAACTAGGAATTAATTACATATAGTCACTCAGTAAACTTTCTTCGGGTTTTTTTTCTAATTGCAGAGCGAGAACATTGTAGAAATGTTGCAGCCAAGTCTGGTCACTTTTATAATCGACGACGCTCAAAGATTTGAGTCAGAAAGAAAGCACGAGGTCCCTTGGATTAAAAATTAGGGATAAAAACAGTAGCTGTCTCCAGACAGCCAGTGCAGCATCAGGTCTTAAAGAAAAGGTGTGTGTGTGTGTGTTTGTGTGTGAGTGTGTGTGTGTGGTCATATTTTAGAAAGCTGGGTACTAGTGGTAACTCTGGAGGCAGGCTATGTTTGGGAAGTCCAACCTAGTCAAATGTGTGATCTCTTTTGTTTCTGTTTGCTTTCTTTCCCCTTCTGGCTCCCCTGACAGAGGCACCCGTTTGCCAGCCCTTGGATCTCTTTGCCTCTGGTTGACCCTGAGGAGAAAGACACATTCAAGGGGTCCCTCTCCATGGCTCAGATGTAAAACAGGCAGTGGTGGGTTTAGAAGCCTTCATGGTTGTTCTTCAAATGCAAAAGCAACTCAGGAGTTACCCTTGGCCTCAGGTGGCTGGGCTCCGGCCGCCCTTCCCCCGCTCGCTCGGGTTCAGCTCTCCTTCCAGACAAACAGGGAGGCCCTGCCAGCTCTGCAGCTAGCATGCTGCCAGGCCGGCCCTTCCTACCCGGATCACCTACCTGCAGGCCGGCTCCCAGCCAGCGGCTGGGCCTTGCCCGGCTCAGCCTTGGGCATGGTGCCCTCTTTTCTCCCTAGGAGCTGAAAAGCCGTCACCTTGAAACTCCCTGCTCCCAGTGCTAGAGGAATTCTGAAGCTCAGAGACCTTAGCAGTCAATGACATTGGCCACCATGAGGCTATTATTAATAGTTCGGCCTGTGAAGGGGGCTTTTACAAAATGCATTGTTACCTCCTGGGGTCTGTGGGGGGAGGTGGACGGAAACCTCATTTGTGAGAGTCTTCCATGGGCTTGGGTTAGTCCTCTGTAGACTGAGGGTCTGTCCTTGATGATCCCCCGGCCTCAGGAGTGGCTGCTGTTCTTTGGTGGTAGCAGATTTTATGCTCACAGTCTTTACGTTTTCACCCTGGCCTCAGACAGAGGTGCAGCCCTGTAGCTTTGCGTCTTAGATGCCTGCTGTTCTGGGAGATTTCTTTTTCACCTGGAGAAGTGATGTCGAGCTGTTCAGCTCTGGACTCAGAAGGGCACGCGAGCTTCCTCCCGCTGCAGCCTGCTCTCTAGGACAGATCTGCGTTGCAGAGACACCTGTCTGTCTGCACATTATGCCAGGGGGCCGCGTAATTCCTAACCTTCCACTCACCTCAGTGCAGGGTAAGGGGGCCCCAGCACAGTCTCCCGAGGAAGGCTGGATGCCTGAAAGGGAAGGCTTTTCTTTAGGAACCTGTGACTTCACTAAGTCTCCTTGCCACTGACTGCAGTTTGTTGTTTTTTTTTTTTTTTCCCTTCCTTCTTTTTTTATTCTTCAAACGTTGGATTGTTGGTGTCCTTTGGTGGAGCGTTTCCTAGTTCTGATGTTTATGAAGGCGGCTTTGGAGCTAGCAGGGCTCCTTAAACATGAGCTCAGGTATTGAACACACTGCTACCATTTTAGTTCAATACAGGAATGAGGCACTGTTGCCAGCCGCCATTTTAAGAATCCTGCATAAATAGCTTAGCTCCGATGACTGCCCGTTTTAGGTGAGTGATTGCCGAAGACGCTTTGCTAACCGCCCCCCTCCCCCAATTAAAGGAATTTATTTGCAGATTTAGAGGAGCATGCTTGGTTTTGGTTTGGTTTGGTCCCCCCCCCCTTTACATTTTGATGCTGACGGTTGTGACAGTGGAGGGGGGGTGATGCTGTGCCTTGGGTATTAAGTATTTCTTACAGTCTGGACCCTTTTGGTCTTTTGAATGAATGTAAAACCTAGGAGAAGCGCCTGGGACTGGTGCATGATTTCCTGAATTGCTGTGTGATGTTTTTTTGACTAGGGCAGCAAGGTCTTGTACATGCTGGTTCTGTGTTCTAGCTGGCTTACAGATTGTTGTAAAAGTCAAGCAGTAAGGGCACTTGGGAAAAGAAGGATCTGCCTATTGTCTATCCATTCAGGTTCTCCCCTAACACCCTGTCAAATAGCTAGGCTTTTCCTTTTCTCTCTCTCCTTTGGAAGTGTTGAAGGGGTGAGATGCCTGGGAAACGGACCATCCCCGAGTCCTCAGAATTAATAATCAGAAGGGTTAAGGCTTCCTGGAAGGACAGGCGTGTGGAGTGCATATGCAACTTTTAATTGCTCCTTTTTTTTTTCTCTCCCCAGTGCGTGTAGGTTTAGAAGCCCAGATTTCTTGCTCAGGGAATGAGTTATGTGGGAGTCTTCTTTTTGGGCAAGGGGAAGAGATGGACTGGACTTGATTGCCTTTGCAGGTGCTGGTTCTTCTTTCCGGTGCCTGAAATGTAGCAGTCTGTGGATCCCCCCAGCAAGTGCGGTGGGTAACTATGAGGCTAAGTCCTGAGGGTCGTGCGTATACAGTGTATGCAACTAGTTGGTAATTTTTTTTTCCCTCTTGGTTTATTTCATTCTGTTCTATATGTGTCCGTTCACCCTATCAGACCTTTACAAAACAGAAATGTCAGTTTGGAAATGGGACTTGTTCCTTTGTGGATGGAAATGCTCAGGGTTGTTGGATCCTAGCAGCCAGCCGGGGGCAGAGGGAGGGCCATGTGACAAATGACATGGGGGGGGGGTTCCTGCATCTGCTAAGACTTTTAATGTGTTAATGGCAAAAGTTCAAAGTATTTTCTCCAGCTGCAGTTTTCTTTCTAAAGATTGTTATTTGGCTGCCAGCCCCCTACTTCCACCCCACAATCTCCAAACAGCTCTTAAACTAAATTGCCCAAGATCTGTGGGGGCATTTAGAAAGATACAACTCTCTCTCATCCACACCTTTGGGATGATTATTTTTAGTTCTTCTTTTCCAGTAACACACTCAGGGGCTTAACCCTGACCAATAACAACAACAACAAATAGAAGAAAAAGAAAGCCGAGATTGGAGTGTGGGCAAAGGGAAGGCCCTCAGATGTGGCTATTTGAAATGACTAGTTTTGAATTTTGGTCTTTGCTTTTGTAAACTAAGTGTTCTTTCCTCTCTCTCTCTCTCTCTCTCTCTCTCTCTCTCTCTCTCTCTCTCTCTCTTAAATTCAGACACTGCAATTGTCAATTTAGTCCGATAGAAGTTGTGCAGTTGTCCGTGCCTGCATGTGTGTGTGCATGTGTGTTGTATGTGTGCCTGCATGTACTTGCACAGATGGTGGGAGCCTTGGAAGGGGTGGCTTGCTGTTGTGTGAAAAAGATGCTTTTCCTCAGTGTTCTCAGTGTTGATGGAAGATTCTAGGCTCAAAAATTGGTGGTGCAGTTGCTAAAATCAGGTGACTGTGGGTATCGCTGTGATGCTTGGGAAGATGAAACAGCTCCCCCCCCCACACTTCTGTTTCAGAATTGATTATCTTAAACTCAGCAGCCACCCTGAAACTACTTTGCATTTTGTAGCTTCTCAGCTGCATTCCTGCCTGAAGTAGTCAGTCCCTCTGTGCTCTCACAAGCCATGGAATTGTTCCCTTCAGCATGGTCCTCCTGCTTAATCAATACACCTTTGACTGTTTCCTCACAGCAGAAATGCTTCAAGTGGGTTTTCAGTTTTGTGTGTGTGTGTGTGTGTGCGTGTGTGTGTGTGTGCGCGCGCGTGCGCGTGCTCTGAGATTCATAATTGTTTCTTTCCCCACTGGTACTTTTTCAGTTGGGCCACAAATGAACATTTTACCCTATCACTCGTTCAAAATACGGGCGGGATCCATTTCTCATGCCTCCCTCATGCTAGAGAGGGGAACAGAATTTCAGTTGCTAGGAAGAGCAAGGTTATGGGCTGTGCTTTTGAAGTAACCATGTACCCCATCCCTGGCTGCAAGAGCCGCCCTTCCAGCAGCGCCCAGGCTGATGAGCAGTGAGCGGGCGGTTCAGGCAGTGTTTCTGAGTAGGAGTCGCTCTTCCCCTGAAGCTGGAGTAGAAAGAAGGTACATCTTCCACACACCCCCCTGGATTGTTCCATGTTGGTGACGTGCTCAGGTCTGGCAAGCAGGCTTCTTTCGAGACGGATCACCTGTGACAGTGTGTCAGTATCTCTTTGGTGATTTGTGACATTGGTCTCTCTACAGGTGCAGACTAAATGAAATTGTTACCTAGGCTCTTTGTTAGAATGCTAAGTGTTAATATTCAAATTCAGACCCAAACTACCTCCCTCTCTCTTCTCTCTTGGGACTAGTTAAAGTCAGAGGACTCTCAGCTCCTGTTGTGTGCAGTAATCTTTTCTTTTTCTGCCTAGTTCCTGTCTTGAATTTTGTCCTCCCCTACACACCTGGAGCTCTCCCAAACAGGACTCCATCTAGCCCTGAGCTTCCAGGCTCCAGGCTACCTTTTTGACACAGAGCTCGGGACACAGACAGCACAGTCTTCTCAGCTGTTTTCCTCTCTTGCCTTCGAGCCTTCCCAATGGAAAATTCCAGCCACAGCAATTGGCGGTGCAACCATTTTCTTCTTGCTGACCCATGATCTGCTGGGATGGCACCTACAGTGACTGCTTAGCATCTCACCAGAGCAGCATCGTGGAGTGCCTGAAACATTCTAGTACCCGTCTATAACAGCAGATCTGCCTCTTCTTCTGCTTGGCTTGTGAAGTTGTTAGGTTGTCAGGGCCTGCTCTGTTGAACCTGTGCTCCAGCAGGGAGGTAGAGAAGGTTCTGGATGACAGACAGACCTTCCTAGCTAAGGGGGCCTGCCTTTCTCCTTTCTTAGCCCAGCTTTCCACTCAGCCTGTGTCCTTTAAATAATTCTTCCTCATTCCACTGTCTGTGCTGGAGTGTAATTAGTCACAGTTCAGAAGGAAGCCATGCCTGATGGGGTTGAGACTGCCCAGAGACCCCAGGGTCCTGATTCCTGTGATAAAGGCTGCTAGAATCTGACCATGTTTTTCTACTTTGTAATTTAACCGGTATGTCTCCCCCGCCCCCCCTCCATGTTCCTGACTCATTGGGGAGCTGTTAGGCTCAGGATTGGGGGGAGGCCTGGGAACTACTGGTAGAATCCTAGATACCTGTGAAAGGCTTGTCTAACCTACCTTCCTGGCTCCCTGGTGTTAGCAATGAGAGACTTGCTAATTTGAAGGCTGGGTTCTTTAGGATTGAAGCTGGTAGGTTGTACTTGAGTTTCTAAACTAAAGACATGTTCCTCACAGTCTCTTAATGAGTTAGGTATGACAACTGAAATATTAATTTGACTTTTTAAAAACATATTTTTAGTATTCTGGTATTTTAAAGAAGTCCTTTGGCATCTTTACACTGGGTTGAAATCAGGTGTGTCCCCTCCCCCCTTCCCATCAGGATGGCCTTGAGAGAAGGCAGTTTTTTGCTCTCTGGCTCCCTGGCAGCTGCCCCCACAGAGGCGACCATTTGCAGCCTACCTAAACATACATAATCTGTTCTATTTCAGCTTGGCTGAAGAGGAAATAAAAACTGAGCAGGAGGTGGTGGAGGGAATGGATATCTCTACTCGCTCCAAAGGTGAGTAAAAATCTCAGATGATCTACTCCGACCTCCAGGAGAGGGGGATTTCTTTTGTTGTTGGAGAGAGGTGAGACACGGCTCTCTGTGCCGCCTAGCCCTGACTCTGTAGGGTCTTTTGATGGATGAACCTAATTTCTGGAGACATGGTTCAGTCCTCCTTCCCTGCTGTGCCTGTGTAGGTGTGCTGACTTGCCCGGCATTACCCTGTGGTAAATTTTGGGTGTGTGTCTGGGGCTGCCTGCCTGCCTGCCTGCCTCTCCCCAGAGCGATTGTTACAGGAGTCTAAATATGCTTTCTGCAGACGCCACTGAGGTGTGCAGCTGTGGCAGGCTTCCTGATTGTAACAGCAGGCCTCTGGGCAGTCAGTGGGGTGGGCCAGCTTCATTGGTAAATGGTGGCTTTGATTCACAATTACAAGGGAGTGAGGAGACCAGTGCCTGCATTGGGAGCAAACTATGGTGTCATCTCTGTTTATTCTGTTTTGGGGAGCCTGCAGTAGCCTGGGCCTGGCTTGCTGCTCAGTGAGAGTTTGTGGGGCACCCCAAGGGGAGTATTTGCTTGTGCCTTGGGCTCTTTTAACAGCAGCCCTTTGGAGGACTGTATTTGCCACAATAGCCTAATGACTGTTCTGCGCTGGTCTGTTCTTTTGCTGCAGCTCCAGGCTGTGTCTGAGAGGTAGGAGGGGCTGCAGGAAGGGTTGTTGCAGATCCTTCCAGGAGGAGGCTCTCATCTGGCCAGGATGTCATAAAATAGCACTTCCTAGAGGCACCTGAAAGAAAAGAGAGCATTCTGGGGCTTTAAAAAAAGAAAGAAAAGAAAGAAAAGACAGTCTATTATTTGGGTCAAGCTAAGGGTCAGGTGGTCACACAGAGCTGGCTGAGAGTAGGGAGGAGGAGGAAGAAGAAGAGGAAGAAGAGAAAGGAGGAGGGGGAAGAGTCAAGGTTTATTGCTCTATCTCCTGCCTCAGCTGTCCCAGAATGTACAGGTCATCTGAGTTTCATTGTTCCAAGTGGTGAGGAACCCCAGGAGCTGGAGCAGGGTGTGGCCTTCCGCCAGAGTCTTTCAGACAGTTGATCAGGACTGAGGCAGTCCTTTGAAGCCAAGCCCTGCTGCTGTGATCAGGATCCACTGATGGGACACGTGTCCTGGTGACACAGGACAGGGTAGAAAGGATGAGGGAGAGTCCATAAAGAGGACCCGGGTGGTGTTGGGTCTTCATGTCTGTCTGTCTGTCTGTCTGTCTGTCTGTCTGTCTGTCTTCTGTTTATTTCCCTTTCTTTTTCTTTTTGGAGACACAGAGTCTTTCGACACAGCTCTGGCTGGCTTAGAACTTACTCTGTAGATCCTGTTGGTTTTGAACTCACAGGAATCCACCTGCCTCTGACTCCTGAGTACTGGAGTTAAAGGTGTGTACTGCCATTCCGTGCCTGGCTCTTTTATTATTTGTTAACGTGGGTGTGGAATTACTTGCTATCTCAGGCTCCTCCCACTTAAGGCTGTCTGGGATAATGATACTAGTATGTTTGAAGGCCTGTGGGACATCAGAAGGTTTTTAGTGTTGGGCCTATCTAATCCCCTTCTGAAGTGGGACATGGCAAGTGAGGACACCTGAGTCTCTAATGGGTGGTGAGTGGGGACAGGAGGACTTGTTAAGACTTCCTCATTCCTGGACTCTCCTCAGAAGGCAGAGTAAAACCTCTTCGAGGAGGACCACAGTCATAGGCCACCAACTTGGGACCTGCCTGTCTTGCCCACTGTGGAGACCTTTTCTGTCATTACATACCAAGGAGTGTCTAGTTCATAATCAAATGCTGTTTCCCCTCTGTCTGCTTACCAGCTCTGGGAGACTTTCCCAGGACACTGAGGACCATTCTATAGAGTTGAGGGAATGGTTCAGGTGGTATAGTGCTTGCTGAGGGTCTGAGGTAATCTCCAGAACTTATGTAAAAATCCTGCCTTGAGTCCCTAATCTCAGTGTGAGACCTTCTCTGGGAAAGTACAGTGGACAGACAGACAGACAGACAGTACCTGAGGGATCAGGCCTGAGGTTGTCCTTGTGCCTCCAAACGTGTGGCCTCGCCGCATGCATACACAGGCACCCTCTTCACTCATGTTTATCTTCCCAAGATTCTAGTTCCCCCCACCCACCTTGTCACATCCTTCTGCTTCCCTCTTGTCACTGGGACCTGCCTCTCCATTCCCCTGTGACTCCCGCTCACCTTCCCGGCTTCGCTCCCCGCGTCCTTCTGTTTGTCCTTGGGAGTTTGTTCCTCTGTCTTTCTGGAACATGCTGTCCTGAGTCCTGGCAGCCTGCTCTGGATCACACAGATTCAACACAGATGTCGATAGAAAGGCTTTTGGTGGCTGCTGGTTCTGAGGGAGCCGGTCTCCCCTTTTGAGTTCTGGTTTTAAAGTGAGCTCATTTTGAGAGTTTTAGATTTCAAGAATACTATTTCACCCAACCCCCCTCCACCCCTCCTGTTTCTGGCCTCCTTGGCATATCTAGATGTTTTGAATTCATAAAGCCCACACTGGATTCAGACTTCCCCAGTTTTCATGGGAAAGGCCCCCTTTCTCTGGAATGCTCTTGTGATAATACATGACACTGCATGATACTACATGACACTGCGTGACACTGTCTCCTTCTTTCTCAGACCTTTGTTTTTTGTTGACCATGACATTTTCCAAATTGTACTCTTTAAGAAAAAAAAAAAGGTATGTGAGTGTGTGTGTGTGTGTGTGTGAGTGTGTGTGTGTGTGTGTGTGTGTGTGTGAACAGAGGCTCATGGTAGCTCATGCTGGCCTCTAACTTGCTGTATAGTTAAAGGTAATCTGCATAAGTGCTGGGCTTACAGGCGTATCCACCATGCTAGGGTTATGTGGTGCTGGGGGATGAGACCTGGAGCTTGTTAATGCTAGCTAGGCAGCGAGTGCTCCGTCCCCAAAGTACCTTCTTTGAAAGGAGATCACTGAGCCACATCCCAGGAGCAGCCTCCTCTGTCTTCTGTGTGCCTCCTCCTCCAGGACAGAGTGACAGCATTAGAATTCTGTACCGTGGAGATGATGTTTCCCTGTGTCTGTCTGTCTCCTCCCCCCAACAAAAGGTTTATTTATTTATTTTATTTGTTTGTTAAATTTTCTATGTATGGGTGTTTTGCCTGTGTACCCTGTGCGTGTCTGGTACCCACAGAGACCAGAAGAGGGTGTTGGATACCCTGGAACTGAGGTTGTAGGTGGTTGTGAGTCATATGGGTGCTAAGAATTGAACCCAGGTCCTCTCTGGAAGAACCAATGCTCTTAATTGCTGGGCCTTCTCCTCAGACCCCTCCCTATGTGGTTTATTGTTCTCCTATGTAATGGTGGACCCAGGGATCATTCCTGTGCTCTTGGGGTTTTTCCATTGTTACTTACTATGTATGGATTGATTCCACTGGCCTGCTGGGAGCACTCCAGCAGTGTTGGCTCTGAGTATCCCTGGGCCAACTTGTCTTCAAGGCCTGTGTCTCTTTATGACTGTTCATGTTCTGGCTTTGTCGTCTTCATGTTCTGCTTCAGGCCCTTTTTGGGACAGTGATACTAGAAACTAAGATCCAGGTGTACTGGGTATGTGTGCTGAAGCTGGGTCGTCTGCTTCTAGGTTTTCTAAGTTATTAACAGAAGATGTGTGTACTCGGAGTGCTTTTGTCTGTGAGGATTTTTTGTTGTTGTTTTTTACACATGCCTTTCTGTGTCTGTGGTGGCTAACCATGAGTTAGTTCGTGTACTTGTCTCCCAAAATACCTACTTATTTTGGAGTTTTGTGTGCATATGTACACATGCACATGAGTGTGCAGTTAGTTGTACACATGTAGAGATCAGAAGGCAGCTGCTGGAGTTGGTTCTTTATACCATGTGGTACCCTGGGATCAAATTCACATCTTCAGTTTTGGTGGCAAGCACTTTTACACGCTGAGCACGGTCACTGGCCCTTAGGTCCTTTCCATCAGTATGTGGGCCATGTGCTTTCCCTAGCTCGTCCATCCCAATACAGGGGGAGCTGGCTCCTCAGGCTTGCCTTTTGTAAACTGCTTTGGAGTATTTTTAGGCTGATCTGTAGTAGACAGTGAAGACTGCTAACTCAAGTGTACACTCAGTAGACTATGGGGAATGGAGAGATGGCTCAGTGGTCAAGGTCCATGGTTGCTGCTCTTCCAGAGGACCTGAGTTTGGTTCCAGCACCCATGGCTCACAGCTGCCTGTGGCTTCAGCTGCAGGGGATCCAATACCTTTCTGATGAGGCATGCATGCGTGTGTTATACACACACTCAGGTACCCACACACACATAGATTTAAAGCAAAAGATAATTGACTATCTCTGACTCTCTGGGACGCTCTGTCATTGTTACCATTGCTATCTTGTGCTCTTCTGCCTGTTGCTCTTCAAGGGCACACCATTTTCTCTGGAAGGACCTTGATCTCCAAGTGTGCTCCACCCCCCCATCTAAGAGCAAGGTAATATGGCGTGCACAGTGTGTGTGTGTGTGTGTGTGTGTGCGTGTGCCTGTGCACTTGTGCTTGACTAAGTGTGGCTTGTTGAGGTAACTTTGGAGATCCTTCTCTTGCTCTCCACCTCAGTTTTTGAGACATGGGATGACTGAACCTGGAGCTGCTGGCCATTTTGGCTAGACTGTCTGACCATCAAGCCCCTGGTGAGTGTCTCCCTGTCTTCACTCTCCCATGATCTGGGGTTATATACCCATATTCCTGCATCTGTCTGTTTTTTACATGGTGCTTTTTACAGATTGCCTACCTTTTGGTGTGAGTGCTTTATCCACTGACCCCAGAACTTAGATATATATATATATATTTTTTTTTTTTGAGTGGCGTCTCACAGATCCCAAGTTGCCTTCCAACTTGTTATGCAGGTGAAGGTGACCTTGAGTGCCTGATCTTCCTGTCTCTACCTCCCAAGTGCTGGGATTGCAAGGTTTCTGCTACCACATATGTCTCAGTGATGT